TATCAACTTCTCTGCTGTAGCGTAGTCTCCTTACTTGCTGGAAGCCATAACTGTGTTGACAGTGGAGTCTGCCACACTAATAGTGGAGAACTTGAATCAATCTCCACTGAATGCAGCTGTTGAAGCAGCTCAGTATTTCAGACCACCACGAATCTGACCCAATATATTATGGCCCTAACTCCCAACTGTAGTTACACTGATTTTTATTTTAGGACCACAGAAATATGACATGGAATTGGGGAATATTATCATCAATCACCTGTGATAGTCAGAGCACTCTCTTTTAGCCCTAAAGTTTTCTGTAGCTATTCCTTATTTCAGAAAAGAAAGGAATGTTTGAATGTTCTGCTTTCTGATTCTATTGGGTTTCATAGGGAGCATGGGATTTTTCCTGAGGTTTTGATACTTGGTCCTGGGCACCATTTAGAATGAGGGGGCACCATCACCTTGGATTGAATTGTATCTATGCTGACTAGCTCTGTCCATAGAAACCAGACAGCTGCCTGGTTTTCTGAGGAACTCTGAGAGATAAAGTGACAGAAAAAACACCCAAAACATCAATAATAAAATAATTTATAAAAGGTAATAAAAGTGGTAAGATGTAGTACTCTAATTGTCTTCACAGAAAGCCACCCAGTGACCTTGTTTATCCAGCCTCTCCTGAGGAAAGAAGACAAGCTCATTGAGAAGACTACTCTAGGCATCTGTCAATTAAAGTTGTTCCCTTAGTTCGCAGGTCCATTAGAAGAGACTAGGAAGCAGTCTAGTATAGCTAACTGGGGAGAATTAAATCTATTTGCCTCAAGGAAGCAGACAGGGTCCTCAGTCCTGTGATTATTTCCACCTGTGTTTGGATACATGTCTCTCCTTTTAAGTTAAGGACTCCCAAGATATAGCAAGTAGTTGAATCCAGGTAGAGCTATATGCATGTTTAAAAAACAGAGTGGTCCTTATAGTTCTTTAAAAGGCAGTTGTTTCCATATCCCTCAAAGCCATCTCTGGATCCAATTGTACTGGGCATTTTTTTAAATCTTGCCATTAAAGAAAAGGTTGTTGAGAATGTGACTGAGTTACAGCTTCAGAGGACTCTGGAAAAATGAATTATTTGCATCCCTTTCCAACAGATTTCAAATTGGGACATAATACTGAGATGGCATTGATAGTAGAGGTAAGTGAGTTTTGGCAGGACTAAGATGGGAGTCAGAGCCGGATTTTCCTATAGGCTAACTAGGCTTTAGCCTAGGGCCTCAAGATCAAGAGGGGCCTACATTCAAATTGTTAGCAAAATTAAAATTACACTTTCACTATAGGTGAAAGGGCCTCATCAGTGGAATAGCCTAGGGCCTCTTTTCATCTAAATCCGGCCCTGATGGGAGTATTGTATCCATTCTAGCTCTCCTTAATCTCTCAATGGCTTTCAATATAATCAGTCATGTGCTTTTGGAACAACTTCAGGTCACTGTGGGGGATACAATTTTCAATAGTTCTGCTCCTTCCTTTAGAGCTAATTCCACTTGGTGTTTTTTCCCCCAAGTTTTTTATTTTATATAATTTATACATATCAATGCATGAATAGTGTGATACCTGGGTATCATACATTTTGATAGAAATAGACTTAATATTATTACTCATAGTTATTACATTTCATTTTCATTGTTTCATATTGTTTAAACCAGAGGTCTTCAAATTTGGCAGCAATTCAGTTGAAGTCCACAAGTCTTAAAGCTGCCTAGTTTGAAGACCTTTGATTTAAGCATATATCTTGTTATATTAATATATATATATATATATATATATATATATATATATATATATATATATATATATATATATATGTGTGTGTGTGTGTGTGTGTGTGTGTGTGTGTGTGTGTGTGTGTGTGTGTGTGTACATACACTATTATTCCCCTCTTGGTGTTCTCAACTTGGTGTTGATGGGAGTAAATTACTATATTTCTACTTCAGTATCTACATGAAGCCACTTACAGTAGTAAGGTCATTCTTCACACAGGGTCAAATACGAACAATACATTGATGATATCCAGAGAGAGATATATCTCTACCTAGACCAAGCAAATGTTACTATCAAAGTTCTTTCTATAGCCTGGTCACATCCTCCTTTCTATTGCAAAAGTACATATATAAGGCTGCCCTTGAAAACCACCCAGAAGTTGCAATTGGTCCAGAATGTGGTGGCTGGAGTAGTTATAAGATGCACATTGATATGCCTATCCAACACCACTATTGTAAAAGCTGCCATGATTTTCTATAGATGTCTAGGGAAATTCAAGGTGCTGATTACTGGTTATTTGCAGGATTGTCTATCTACATCCCAGACCAAGTATAAAGGACATACCTTGAGTCCTTTCTACAAAACAATGTTCTTGGCAAGACCCAGGAGGTGGGGAACATATAAATCTCCCTGCCCCAAGGCCTTCTGCAAGGCGCTGAAAAATTATTCTTTCCTGGGAGGCTGGGACAGAGCATAAAATAAACCTATCCAGAATGAAAGGATATTTTAAAAATGTTTATGAGGTATAGCATGGTTGGTCTCGGTTATTCCATTTTTCTTTCATTTTTCTGTTTTTTAGTTTGTCTGAGAATAGACCAGAGGTGGGTTTCAGCAGGTTCTGACCAGTTCTGGAGAACTGGTAGTGGAAATTTTGAGTAGTTCAGAGAACCAGTAGTAAAAATTCTGATTGGCCACGCCTCCATCTATTCTCTGCCTCCCAAATCCCAGCTGATAGGGAGGAAATGGGGATTTTGCAGTAACCTTCCCCTGCCATGTCCATCAAGCCATGCCCACCAAGCCATGCCACGCCCACCAAGCCACACCCACAGAACCGGTAGTAAAAAAAAATTGAAACCCACCACTGGAATAAACATACATAATATGTTGCTGTCTTTCAATGTGCTTTTGCTATTCCTGGTAATTATTTTTCAAAAGAACAGCTCTGAAAATGGTATCAAGATATATTACCTCATCCCATATTGGTGAGATATAATAGCTTCTTTTCTCTTTCATTAATTCCCAAACTCACTTCATACAAATAACAGAGTGTGCAAAGCCTGTAAGGCATTCATTTTTTAAAAAGTCCCTTCCAAGAGGCAAAAGTCTACATTTTACTTGCCTGAACTCAAATCTCCTTCCTCAGAAGGAAGAACTTGACAAAGGTCAACTAAACTGTTCCCATGTTGGCTCAAACTGGCTTGCACTGCACAGTTAACAAGGCATGTGCTTTTCAAAGATTTCAGGGCAGCATTAAACACAGATGAGTATCAAGTCAGAGTCGCTGCATACCAACTGATGAATGTTTAGCTACCCGGAAATGTTTCATTGAGAGAATTACTCTCTCTACTCTTGACAAAGTTAATGGATGCTACTTTTAAAGTAGAGATGCTCCCCTGAAACAACTTTAGGTCCTAGTAGCCTTATTTTCTTAGCCCATCTGAAGATTGTTCCCAAATTATAACTCTTAACGGGACAGACTGGGTAAAATTATTAACTTGTAAAGAACAGGCTCAATCCAGTTTGAGGCACTTGTGGAGATGAATATTTAGTAGGCTGACTGAATTATATGGAATAAAATTACTTCTTTGCTTATTAGAAGAGTAGGGTTGGTGATGAGAAGTGTACTTTTGGAAATAATCAAAATTGCTTTTCATACCATCTTTTGCTTTCCTGGTAATAGGCTTTAAGTAATCAAAAATTGAGCTTAAGAAAAATAAAACCGTAGTTGGAGGTAAGAATAATCTATTTGTGTCTAAAGGATTTTTACTGCAGATCTTCCTATAAATTCTGCTCACTGTTAGCAACGTAATATTTTATATTATAAAATATATAGTTTTAAATGCCTATAAAATAATAGCTTTATTTAAAGGCATGATAAAAGCATGATAAAAATACATAAATTAAATGCATAATAATAAAAGCATGATAAAAGTACATTAACGTTAGATGTTGTAAAATTAAGAATTAAATGAAAATACATTCATGTGAATGTTTTTGTATTGATTTACAATATACAGTACATAGTTCTTCAATGAACCAAGATTTTAATATCTTTAAATATCCTCAATACATTGTATCTATTCAATTCTGTAATATTTATTTTAATAGTAAATTGGACTATGGATAAGTAAGTTAACATTAAATATTAAATCATTAATGTAATACACAAAGGAATAACAATCCTAGTTTAAGTGCCAATTGATAAGAAAGTTAACGTTAAACATTGAGGGACTGAAAAAATATATCAGAAAAGAATGACAGTCACAAGCAATGACTGAATCATACACTGTGATAAACAATAAGGTAATTTGTTTGGATCTAGCTTATTGTAAGATGGCTTATTCAACATAGCATGGTTAAGACACGATATAGATTCATGTAGTATTATCATCTATGAAATGTTCCTAGCAAAAGGAATGTACATATCTGTACACATATTTATTTTTAAACTTTTTGTTGATACTGCTTTCTTCCATTTAGCTTTTGAACAGCAGCCAATGCCTGAGTCTTTTTTCTATCTGCAACCTTTATAATACGAAATTATTCTGATAATTGGAATGCTAAGAAAAAAGCATGATAGACTATTTAAAATGGTGATATGGCATAGATATTAACTTGGAAAGAAGTTTGGCAATGGACACATTCCTTAAAGACTCACATCATTCTCTAAGTGTGACGTTCTCGTTATTTCCAAGGCTTCTTCCTATTCTGCCAAAAATGGCTATTCCATCAATTCTGTTGCTCTCTAATTGTGGGAACCTTTCAGATTATCCAGCAGCGAAACATGAAAGCTGCACAGAATAATGCTTTAGCTAATGAATCTGCTGGAAGAACCAAAATCCTATTAAGAATCCAATCTAGAAAAAGTTCTGAAAATAGTGATTGATTTGGTTTACATAATAAATATAAATCACACAAGTCTGAAGTAATTAAGTCCACAGTCAGCACCAAAAGCTCAAAAATCAATAAACTCTGGGTATAGCAGTGAATTTATTCCAGTAAAATTTTTAATGGTTTTGAATTTTTATTTCCTGTAAGTAATTTGCAAACATTATGTAGTTGTTCTGTTTGTCCAGTTATTAGCTTTACGTAGGTTTTTTAAGTCTCTTGTTTTACGCTTTTTTTTGTTCAATTTTCTGATGGCATTATTCACCCAGGGAGCATCATGTGGCACACAGATCTTGACTCCTCTTCTGGTAATTAAACTACAAGAAAATAAAAATCAAGTCAAAAGAATGTTGAAGTAATACCCTAAGGTCTATACCAGTGATGGGTTGCCCCCCGGTAAAACCGGTAGGAGGCTCTACCCACCGACCCCGACGTTATCAGAACGCTTCTGCGCATGTGCAGAAGAGTGCGTCTGTGGTCCCGTTGCAAACCAGTAGTAAAGATAAGTAGAACCCACCCCTAGTCTATACCAGCACTATATTGTGATGGAAGGTAATATTATTGGAAGCCAATAGGATGAAAAGTTCTGATTTTAGCTTCTGCTGTTATCATATATTCATTGTTCAGTGACTGGATATTAAATAATACATATGAATCAACTACATTTGGTAGTATTTCACATTCATTCAAACATTTTTAAAATCAATTTACATATTTGTTCTGGATACTCATGCCTCTATTCTATTGTGAAGAGTTTACTTAAATCCTTAAAAATCTTATGTGATAATACATTTATTCATCTTTAAAATGCCACAAAATAGTATCTTTAAAAAATTGAGACTTCAAATATTATTAATATAATCAGCTTTGTTCACTTAAGTCAAAAGTTTTACACAGTTTAAGAGTTGCTGTTATTATTATTATTCCAACTTTCTGTCACTGACACCTAGTTTGCTTTCTCCTTTCACACCTGCCACATTACTACTTGCAAAATTTCCAAATTATAACGAGTTACAAACTTTCCAACAACCTGAATTGGACAGATAATTATTACAATTTAGTACATAGTTTCACATTACACATGAGACTAAAACAGCAATCTTGATTTTGTAATAACTATCAGGGATTTGAATAACAGCTGAATTATTGTCCTGTATGAGCCTGAAATTAGCCTACCAACTTCTGTGTTCCTCCATTGACTAGACTTTTATTTTTATTATCTAGCTTCACTTAGTTCCTAAAAGTAGGAAGCAGTGAAAAGCACTTCAATATACTAAGAGGTTTGTTGAGAATGTAGGTAAACTTCCAGCCCTAAAGTCAATATATGATATCAGATACAGATTAAAGGGTCCATAAGCAAAGATATAGGTATACTGTACAGTATATATGTGGTTGTATACCATAATTATAGGGAACAGCATTGGCAGCTGATAGAGACTTTAACTGGCTGAATGAAATATTATCAGCATGGAGCTGGCAAGTACTAAAGAACATAGCAGCTAACCTAGCTTCCTCCTTCTGAGCACTAACTCACAAACTTAGGTAAGCATAGCCTGAGATTAAAGACGATAGCAACTGTAATTTAAAATGTATTTGTGAACACCAGGTACTAGAGACAAATAAAAAAGCCTTTAATATTTACTGTCAGCCAGGGGTGAAATCTACTTATCTTCCTTACTGGTTCGGAAGTGTATGCGCTACATCACATGCACTCTTGGACCCTCTGCACATGCACAAACCCTTCTGTGCATGAGCAGAGGGTAAAAAACGGTGTCCGGGCAGGTGGGCAGAGCCTTGCACTGCTGCTGCTACCAGTTTTCCAAACCACCCGCCACCGTCACTACCTGTTCGCCAGAACTGGTGCGAACCGGTAGCATTTCACCCCTGCTGTCAGCTCTTAAGTTATTAGGAGTATTTGGCTGATCTGTCATAGAAATACCTTATAAAGGTGTACTAAAATAGTCTGAACAATTCTAGTAGCACCTTTTCTGTTACTAGACACACATTTTATTAAAAGGAATAATTTTTTGTAAGCTGAAGTTCACTTCATCTAACGCATAGAGTGGCATCTGATAATAGGAGCTACAACTCACAAGCTAATGCTTTTTAATCAGAAAATATGCTACAATCTCCTCCTGATTTTTGATACCTTAAACTAATGGGGCTTCCTCTTACCAAGTTGTACTCAAATATCTTTGGATGTATATAGTGTATTCTAAATCAGGGGTCTCCAACCGTGGCAACTTTAAGACTTGTGGACTTCAAAGCTGGCTGAGGAATTCTGGGAGTTGAAGTTCACAAGTCTTAAAGTTGCCAAAGTTGGAGACCTGTTCTAAATGACTTGGGGAACTACAGTTTTTATTTTGTGTCTCCAATAAGAGAAGATATATAGGCAATAACGTGTTTTTCCTCGCTTTGTTCCCTCCAATCACCAGACAATTATTCGGGGGATTAAATGACTCTTCAGTCTATTAACACCTATACAATTGTATACATATGTGTTTTGATATCTCTTTCCATTTTTGCTGGTGGAACATTCTTTTCCAGGCCTACAATTGAAGATTAGATACTCACATTACAACTTTTCTGGGATGTTCATGTTTTTCGTAATGTTCAAGTTGTTTAATGTTTATTTCTTCTGTATGCAGGCTTAAACAGGAGTTAACTGCCAGAGGTTGACTCCCTAAGGTTCCTTAAAAAAAACCATGCACACACAAAAAAAATGTTGAAAGTATTTTGTTGTTGTCAAATTTTCAAATCTTACACATGTACCATCTAATTCCTGAAGGTATTTTCATTCTTTATCCAATAGTTTCAATCAATTAGTTCTTTGAAGGAGGTAATTTTCCTTCCTTCCTTCCCATTTTTTTCAATCCTGTCTGTTCACATAGGTATACATACTACTCCTTCAGATATCAAAGTTACATCTCAACAGCAACTTAGATGTACATGCATACATACAGATATAAATATTTTATATATTATACACAAACACACACACACACACACACACATAATAGATAATTTTATACTTCTTAGTAATCATAGCTTAGCAGCATAGGAACATTTGTTTTCCTAAAAAAAAAATGCTTATTAATTGCAATTGCCACCAATTACTGTAGATAATCGATGTCGTTTGGCATTAATTTGCAGAATGTTCTTTCCAATTCTCCAACATACTTTAATTTATTTAAAGAATAAACACAGTGAGATTATACCCACACAAGAAGTAGATTCCTATACCTATTGGCAAAAGTAAATCATATCCAAGATACTGAATCAGAACTAGTGAGAGCACAATTGTGAAACTAAAATACAAGCTTTTCCAATATAGGAATGATTAAATTTTAAGCATCCATTATAGTTTATTTTTTAAAATTTATTTTGTCAACCATGTATTAGATAACATATATAAGTATAAACATGATTATTAATACATGAAATGGATACGAATAAAAGGGGACATTAGGACAGGGACTGTAGGCATGTTGGTGTGCTTATGCATGCCCCTTACAGACCTCTTAGGAAAGGGGTGAGGTCAACAGTAGTCTAAGGTTCAAGTTTTGGAGGTTTGGGGGGAAAAAACCACAGTCAGGTAGTGCATTCCAGGCATTGACCACTCTGTTGCTGAAGTCGTATTTCCTGCAATCGAGTTTGGTGCGGTTTACCTTAAGTTTGTATCTCTTGTGTGCTCATGTATAGTTTGCCTAATGAATGCTTCAAAAACCTTTAAGTCAGATTTGAGACCTAATAAACATGGAAATACTTTATCCACGATCTGTAAATATAATTATAACAGGATCAAACCCCTACTCATATACGGACTTATGAGGATCAAAAAGACATTCTTCTAATTCATAATGGATTCTTTTCCTTATGAATGAAAAAAATTGTTCACTCTATTTCATGAACATGGAGGCTGAATTCCAAGATGTCTTTATTAATGGAAGAAAGAAAAAGAAGACAAAAAGATGGCAAACAAATGAAATTGATTGCCTATTCAGGTGCCTTTGTTGGTATCCATTTGCAACCAAAAAATCAAGGACCTGCTTGCAGAATGGGTGACCAAATCTACAGAGTTTTCTGTGCATTCAAGAAGTTGTGCACAGATATGAAAATTGGCACTACAATGTTCTACCAGGGCATAGAGCCTAATGGCAAGATTGTATTCATGAAAAAGTATTAAAGCTATATTTAATACTTCACACACTTTAAAGGGGTTGCACAGCTAATTATCAAAACTATTTGGAGAATAGTTCCATGAGATCACACCATCTTAATAGACATTAAAGACTTCAAATCAACTCTTTTATACATCTATAAAAACATCTATAAAAGTTTTAATTTCTTAAACTGACAGAAAATGGACCAGAAATCCAGAGCGAAATTCATGTCGCATTGAAATTGATTTTACTTCTAGAAGAGCATGTAGTACAAATATTATCCCAGCTAGGAATAGCAATTCAGATGCTACTCTTGAATTGAAAAGGGGGAAAAAAATCAAAACATACCTCTGATAATAAGGACTTTGAAGTTCTCCAGAAAAGAAATAGCTAGAATGATTGCCAAGTAAAGTCTCATGGTTGATCTTTTCCTTAAGACGATGGGAAGATGAATATTTCAAGGCTCATTTCAACACACTTATGTACTCTCTGGACATTCAGAACAAGGGGTGTCATGGTAAAATGAGAGATGGAAAATATTTTTTAAAACCCCACCTGTTCATATTTTAAGATAGAAGGAGGGGGAAAAAAATACCCTCTTCTGTTCTAGCCCCCAATCATGAGCTTTTTCCTGCCACAATGTGGTTACCTCTGTAAGAATGTCACTGTTGGTTTTATTCTAAGTTTAAAAGAAAGTTTTCTTCTGTCCACAGTGGAAACCAATAGTGTGACTATGGTTTTATCATTAAGCTGTGGATTTACAATGCACTGCACAAATCAGGAAATCAAAATGCTAGATCAGAAGACCTGAGTATATAGTAATCTAAATTTGCTAGTTAGAGAGACATAAACACAGGCATTATTTTCTGAGGAACCTTCAATGAATAAAACATTACCAATATGAAATTAAAATATATGTGTGTATGTGTATCTCTATGTATGGTTATATTTTCAAAATATGCTGAATTATTGATAAATCATATTTCTTCACCAAATTCCTACATATTATACCAGTTGATACAGAGAATAAGGACAGTTTGGAGATACATGCTTCTCCATAAGGTTTTATACATTGCCTAGAGTTAAAGGTAAAGGTAAATGTTCCCCTCGCACATATGTGCTAGTTGTTCCCGACTCTAGGGAGCAATCTCATCTCCATTTCAAAGCCAAAGAGCCAGCACTGTCTGAAGACATCTCCGTGGTCATGTGGCCAGCATGACTAAATGCCAAAGGTGCACGGAATGCTGTTGCCTTCCCACCAAAGATGGTCCCTATTTTTCTACTTACATTTTTTATGTGCTTTTGAACTGCTACTGGTAGGTTGGCAGAAGCTGGGACAAGTAATGGGAGTTCACCCTATTACACGGTACTAGGGATTCGAACCGCTGAACTGCCAACCTTTCGATCGACAAGCTCAGCATCATAGCCATTGAGCCACCACATCCCAGCCTAGGGTTAGGTCAATCTAAATAATCTTTCAAACATATTTTGTATGTTTAATGGCATAAGTTCATGGTTAGTGTTTGAACTGCTTGAAGGAAGGACAATATGGGTACACGGAATATCATTAAAAATATTATTTGTTTGTATACTTAATCCAGTATATTACTTTCTGTAGGGTTAGCTAATCTAAAATGCATGGCATGAAAATTTTAAAAAAAGGAAGAAGGGAAGAGAAAAACACCAAAACCAACAGCTTCTTTTTAGTTTTGACCTTTATATAACAAGGAGCCAACATAATACCATGTTTCCCCGAAAATAAGATCCTGTCTTATATTTTTTTGAACCCTGAAATAAGTGCTTGGCCTTATTGTCATGTGCCATGTCATCAGGGGATGTTTTATTTTGGGGAAAACAGGGTAATACTAATGATGATGATGATGATGATGATGATGATGATGATGAAGATGAAGATGATTCTTAAATGATAAATCCAGTTCCTCCATTCTGTAACCAGAGCCATATACTAAATAGTCTGGGAGACACCTCATCATGGAAACTACACTGAACTATGAGACAACTCCTACATACTTATCTATTTTCAGGAATACAGTGGACCAGTTGAAGGCACCTGCAATGAAACAGGATGGGAGGCAGAGCGTTTATTCTCAGAAACCATGTAGTGAAAATGACTGACCTTAAAATTCCATAGAAATGGCAGAAATAGTTTATTTTTTTTCTGGCTCCTAGCATGAGAGGATTTTTAAGAACTGCCCTAGGAACAATTTCTGCCACTTTATATATCATAAATGTATTGCTGGGATTTCAACTTGACTGGGAAAGGGAGAAGGGGAAAAAAACCCTGAATATTGGAGGCAACTTCTCTGCAAATTTCTTCAGTCCTTTGGGAAATACACAAATATTCTGTTGGATCTTATTGGCTAGGCAGATATAATCAGTGGTGGGATTCAGCCGGTTCTCTCCAGATCACGCGAACCAGTAGCGGCAATTGTAGGAGGCTCCACCCACCCACCTGGACGTAATGCGTGATTACTGCATGCACTCTCATTTTTGCGAGGGAAGGTAGGGAAGGTAAGTGAATCCCACCTCTGGATATAACTGAAGGTAGGCAGTACCACAAATAGCCCTGTGCTGTGAAGGTCTTTATAGATGATAACTAGTCCCTTAAATTGTATCCTGAAGCCTATAGAAATCCACTGCAGTTTACTAAGCAGTAGCTTTACATAGATATACTGTGGTGCACACATGACTTTCAGCACTGACACATTCTGAACTAACTCTAACTTTCAGATGGTCTTCAAGAAGACTCTGTTGCGATAGTACAAGCAGAAGGTGATCAAAACATGAATGACTTTGGGCAGGGTTTCCCAGTCTAGGAGTTGTGCAAAACCTGTCCTGGTCACAGCTCTCACCTGCTCTTCAAGCAAGAGCCATGGTACCCTAGTTGGATACCAGTTCTGTCTGGAGAATTGCAATTCTATCCAGAACTAAAGATGAAGAATCTCCAAATCTCACCCACACATCATCAATATGAGTCACTGATCTGTCATTTAATTATAGCATCAGCAGGCCGGATATAGACCACACAAAATGTGGTTCATCTGGGGAACAGGCAAAAAGTTATATTTCCTTTAGTTTGAAATACTAGAACTTTACAGATCCTCAAAGGGATTCTTGGCTTTGTTGGATATCTGTGTAATGCACCACTGAAAAGTGTGGTATAAGTTGCTGTTTGGTGGTGCATGTGATTTTACAATCACATTGCTAGCAATGGCTGTTATTTAATTAAACTATGGTTAAACTAGACAGCAAGGCCAGAACAGGTTGAGCATGGCCAGAATCTGTTAGTTTGGTTCCTGCATTATTCTCAAATAATATGAGGAAATGAGGACATCACTAAGAACTATTAAAATGCTTCTCGTCTATAAGTCACAAAGGAAAACAGAAGTAAAGAGCAGTTAACTAACCTCACACCAGTTTTCAAGGAGGGAACTATTCTCTGCTATTTCTCAACTAAACTATTGTGTGAAAAGCTATATTAAAATAGTTTATAAATTATTAAAATTTTACAGAAAACAGATTATAATATCAGATATTTATATTATATTTATATTTACCCTGATTTTCCCCAGTTTAACTTACTACCAAGGGAAAGGAAAGTATATTTTGAGACCTTCTTCATGTTTAAGAAATGTGACACATCTCTGTGAGCCTTGTCCAAAGAAAGGCCATCCTTTCATAAAGCCAGGTTGCCAGGATAATCTACAGTCAGGTCCAGAAATATTGGGACATCGACACAATTTTAACATCTTTGGCTCTATATACCACCACAATGGAGTTGGAATGAAACAAATACAATGTGGGTTAACTGCAGACTGTCAGCTTTAATTTGAGGGTATGTACATCCAACTCAGGTGAACGGTGTAGGACTTACAGCAGTTTGCATATGTGCCTCCCACTTGTTAAGGGACCAAAAGTAATGGGACAGAATAATAATCATAAATAAAACTTTCCCCTCTTAATACTTGGTTGCAAATCCTTTGCAGTCAATCACAGCCTGAAGTCTGGAACGCATAGACATCACCAGACACTGGGTTTCATCCCTGGTGATGCTCTGCCAGGCCTCTACTGCAACTGTCTTCAGTTCCTGCTTGTTCTTGGGGCATTTTCCCTTCAGTTTTGTCTTCAGCAAGTGAAATGCATGCTCAATGGGATTCAGGTCAGGTGATTGACTTGGCCATTGCATAACATTCCACTTCTGTCTCTTCAAAAACTCTTTGGTTGCTTTTGCAGTATGCTTTGGGTCATTGTCCATCTGCACTGTGAAGCGCCGTCCAATGAGTTCTGCAGCATTTGGCTGAATGTGAGCAGATAATATTGCCCAAAACACTTCAGAATTCATCCTGCTGCTTTTGTCAGCAGTCACATCATCAATAAATACAAGAGAACCAGTTCCATTGGCAGCCATACATGCCCACGCCATGACACTACCACCACCATGCTTCACTGATGAGGTGGTATGCTTAGGATCATGAGCAATTCCTTTCCTTCTCCATACTCTTCTCTTCCCATCACTCTGGTACAAGTTGATCTTGGTCTCATCTGTCCATAGGATCTTGTTCCAGAACTGTGAAGGCTTTGTTAGATGTTGTTTGGAAAACTATAATCTGGCCTTCCTGTTTTTGAAGCTCACCAATGGTTTACATCTTGTGGTAAACCCTCTGTATTCATTCTGGAGAAGTCTTCTCTTGATTGTTGACTTTGACACACATACACCTACCTCCTGGAGAGTGTTCTTGATCTGGCCAACTGTTGTGAAGGGTGTTTTCTTCACCAGGGAAAGAATTCTTCGGTCATCCACCACACTTGTTTTCCATGGTCTCCCAGGTCTTTTGGTGTTGCTGAGCTCACCGGTGCATTCCTTCTTTTTGAGAATGTTTCAAACAATTGTTTTGGCCATGCCTAATGTTCTTCCTATCTCTCTGATGGGTTTGTTTTGTTTCTTCAGCCTAATGATGGCTTGCTTCACTGATAGTGACAGCTCTTTGGATCTCATCTTGAGAGTTGACAGCAACAGATTCCAAATGCAAATAGCACACTTGAAATGAACTCTGGGCCTTTTATCTGCACATTGTAATTGGGGTAATGAGGGAATATCACACACCTGGCCATGGAACAGCTGAGAAGCCAATTGTCCCATTACTTTTGGTCCCTTAACAAGTGGGAGGCACATATACAAACTGCTGTAAGTCCTACACCGTTCACCTGAGTTGGATGTACATACCCTCAAATTAAAGCTGACAGTCTGCAGTTAATGCACATTGTATTTGTTTCATTCCAACTCCATTGTGGTGGTGTATAGAGCCAAAGATGTTAGAATTGTGTCGATGTCCCAATATTTCTGGACCTGACTGTATCAAGGTTGATATCATCTGTAATGTTATGTGCCAGAGTTGTAGCTAAAATTTAGCATCTGTATTTAATACAGAGATTAAATAATAATAGGGGCCTGGTGGCTCAGCAGACTGATAGCATTGTGATTAACACCAACTGTCTGCAATTACTGTAAGTTCGA